TTTTGTTTGTTTTGTTTGTTTTTATGTGTCTTTGGCCACTGTCATAGTGACTAACTCTGGAAACAGACTGCATGGGCTCAAGTCCCAGTGCCGCCACTTGCTATCAGTGTGGCCTTGAACATACCACTAAACCCACTTGTTCCTCATTTTACTAATCTGTAGTATGTGGATAGTAACAGCTAGCATCATAATTATGAAGTTATCATTATGAAGTTTATCTATGTAAGTTTATCAATGAGTTAATGAATATAAAACTCTTAGAATAATGCCTGACACACAATAAACATTATACAAGTCTTAGTTATTATCATAACTATATCTACAACCATATATACCTCATAGCTATTTAGATTATACATCCTTCTGGTCTTATGGTTTCTGTGCTGTTTTTACTGTAGTAATCAAACTATCTTGACCACTTAATAGGAAGAGATCACATACACAGCTTACAAGCTCATCAGAGGCCATAAGTATTTCTCCTGGATACTCAAGGATAATCAAAACAGTAACCAAGAAAATGATAGAGCCTTCCTTATCACACAAAATATGGAGCATTGCCTGGAGGCTGTGTACCTCATAACCATTAATGCTGGCTACAGGGGTCATAAACATTCCTGGTTCCCACAGTATCTGAAACGAAAAACACAAGAGCAGATATACTAGCCATAGCAATGTAAATAAATACGTCCCAGACATTCAATAGCAAAGTTATATGTGCATGTGCACACACACACATCTACCCAGAGGTGGTCAGTATTCTTGCTGTAGAAAGCTTATTGCTGTACTCGGCCTTCTTTCTTATCCACAAAAGACCTTAAGTTTTTAAGTTTTTAAATTTCACTCTAAAATCTATAGGAGATACTTGCCTGCAGGGAGTAAAGCCCAAATTGGGTGCTAGCTGAATGGCAGATAGAGCTGTGGAAAGGGCAGGTGTGAATCCACCTCTTCAACTAGAGTTCATTTAAGTAATCAGATAAATCTGCTCCTGACAAACAAAGGAATGGCAGAAACTAAACTCATGTTTCCTCCTCTCTATTCTAGGAAAGACTTCCCGAGAACCCCTCTGCCTTAGTAAGAACAGATGCTTCCCCATATGGCTTCCTACTGTCTCAAGGACCGTTTTTGTTCAGATTCAATATACATAAATATTTCAGTAATTTGGCTTCTGCCAAAGACGTAAAAATCTAGAAAAAGCATCCCTCTTACCTTAACAACCAGAAAAACAACAAAATACCTTTTCTTGAACCTACCAGAGAGCAGACGTTAGGGTGGCCAAGTGGACATTCCTGTGTTTAGCACTGAAAGTGTCATGTCCTGGGAAACTCCTCAGTCCCAGGCAAGCTGGGATGGTGGGTCACTGCAGCTAGGGTTGCAGACTAATCAAGCAGCCTGAAATTCGAAGAGAGACTGGCCCCACGAAGGAGAGACAGGATGCGAGCACAGAAGAGGAGATATCAAGTACAACACAAGGTGATAGAAGTTCAGCTAAAATCATTAAGTTGTTAAAGGCCAAGTGTGGACTAGCATGAGAGTGCAGAAGCCCTGGGCGCCTCAGACAACGAGTTTGCTCTCATTTTCAGTCTCTTCTCCATGTTCTCCAGTGGATCCTGATGAGAAAGATCTCGGACAAAACAAGAGACCAGAGAGTGCTGGTGGTGAAGGCCTGTTGGAGGGGAGTAAGCTCCCATCGTGGGGAAGGCAAAAGTCCTGTGCAGACCCTTCCTTACCTATAAATAATAGCTTCAAGCCACCGGGGAAGGGACAACAAATTCTGCTGCCTCAAGCATACATGTAAAGGCCCGGTGATACTGAGTAAGGGTAGGTAGGAGTAGGGGAGGACAAACAACCCCTACCTCTTGGTAAGGAGGGGCAGGATCCCTTGCCAATACAGTCAGTGTGCTCCTGCACCCGAAGAGGGTTAGGAGACTCTCATCCCCTCAAGACCCATCAAAGATTCAGGCAGAAATCCTGTCTGCCACAGGGAGACTGAAGGTCTGAGAAGGCCCCCTCTCAAGGCTTAAGAATACAAGGCTTTCCCTAAAAGAGGCTGGACCAGAATGACTAAGAGTCCCCTGGCTCCCACTCCCAAGCTAGCAAGCACCAGGTAACAAGCAGGGGGGAAGGCAAAAGCACGGAGAGAGATCCCCCTGTGATGCAGGTTCGCAGGAAAGGCCAGAAGCTGAATGAAAAAGGAGCATTGAGGAAATCCCTCTAACTCTCCAGCCCACATCCTAAGCATACGGTAATACTAGAGGAATCAAAACTTGTGTTCTGAGGGTGAGACAATAAAGCCCAAACCCACCTTACCTACTGGTTAGACTGATTCGGCACACCGCATCACTGACTTAGCAGAAGAAACGTGCCTATTTTGAGCCCTACATTTTCTTTCCTGTAATCTCTATTCTCCTACACAAGACGCCAGGCATATGAGACATACAAAAAGGAAGGGGAAAAAAAAAACCCAACCCAGTGTCAAGAGAGAAAGCATTCAGCAGAGCCAGACTCAGAGAACTGAAGTACTGAAACCATGAGAGGGGAAATTTAAAATAACTTTGATTAATAATTATCATTAATCATATATGTTAAAGGTCCTAGTGGAAAACATGACTGGACAAACAGGAAATTCCAGTAGGGATTTAGAATCCCAGAAGGAGAACAGCAGAAGAAATACTTGAAGAAAGAATTGCTGAATCTTCCCCCCAAATAATGAAATATACCAAACTACAGATTGAAGAAAAAGATTTTCAAGCAGGATAAACCAAAAAATACACACCCTGACACATCAAACCCAAATTGCTGAAAAAATCAAAGTTAAAAAGAAAATATTGTTGATGGCCACAAGAAAAAAACACATTACAGAGGAGCAAATTATTGGACAAATTTATATCTATTAAAGATACTGACTTTGTAGTTAAAAATTTCTAACAAAGAAAACTATAGGCCAAGATACTGTCACTGGCAAAAGTCAAAGATCAGGACAAGACCAAGCCAGCTCTTCTTAGCACACATCTATTTGATAGATATCTTACTTTGTGCTGGGGGCAATGCCTGAGCTTCAGCCTCCTGGAAATTGCAAAAAGTCCAGAATTCTAAGTTATTCTCCCCAAAGCATCACTTCTGTGGATTCCCAAATAGTTCACATTCTTTGGTGGAGACACCTGAATCCTATTTTGGAGTGCTGACTTGATCGTGGTTGCGAGATAATAAACAGAAGCCTGGCCTTTGCAAGCTGGGTGAAATCACGGAAGGCTCAGAAGTTCAGAAGCATTTTGAGCTGAGATTCTCTCCAACTCAACTTGCCAAGGCTTTTCTGCTTAAAACTTTCTTTATCTCTTGTCTAGACATGTCCACGTGATGGTAGGTCCTCCCACACTGATGGGACAGAGTCTCATTTTGGTCATCCACAAGTTTCTGAGGGGCTGGAGATCCAGGTTCTGGGCTTTGGTCAATCAGTGTAGCTCACAAGGCAATGCGGTTCAAGGGCACAGCTGAGAGTGAGCCTCACGGGTGAAGGGGTAAGCAGCAGGGAGGCAAAGCAAACTCAGGTGAAGTAGCTCACAAAGCCCAATCTTTCCAGGGGAAGACACAAACCTAAAACTGAATCACTTCAGAAAATGTAGGCAATATGAAAACAAACAGAACCATGCCGGTGAAGGCACCCCCAAAGGATGGGAGAACAGCAGCCAATGCTCTGGCTGCAACCCCAGCGGCTGGGCAGATCCCTTTCAAGATAGTTCTTTGAGGCAATCCACTGACACTGAGAATCGCACACCGGAACAGGCCTGGGCCTCAGGGCCTTAAATACACATTTAGAGCTACTTTCCAGGGAACGAGAGGCTCTAGGAGGTTTGATGAGCATCTAATACACCTTGGTTTAGAGCTCACATCTTCACTCACCACACTGCTTTTAAGGGCCATTCGAAACTTAAGATGAAGATACTGGAGTCCACAGGTGTGCATTTCACAACTAAGGGAAGCTGCTTAAGTAAGAGCTTCAATTTACAGATAACTTTCTGTTCTTGGCTCTCCTTCAGACTGGAGGACCAGGCAGTTTCTTCACTAAAACTAGTTACTTTTCAAGGTGATGGGATTGACAAAAAGCAGTCAGGCCAAGGCTGCTGTAATCCCATCGTTTGGAACAATGTAACGATTTGGAGTGAAGGCTGGTGAGGTGACCATCCACCCTCACTTACTTCTTCCTTCCTTTTCCTATAGTTTCTCAATAGTTCGCTTCTGCTAATCTGACCAAATAAAGAGCCAAAGTAGCAGAAATACCTCTACCAGCGCCTGAACTGATTCTAGTGGCAACAGCTGACAGAAGTTTGAGCATTCCCGTCCTGTAAGTGACTGTAATTCTATCCTAGACTACTTGCAGTTAGGTGGCACTTCTTTAAATGCTAAGGCCTTTAGCTGGAGGTTAGCTGGGTGATGTGGGTGATATTTTAACAGCAGGTGGGGGTGCTTTCTGGGAGATGAAAGGCAGTGTGAGTTTTTTGAGGGAGACGCAGCATTTTCTGAACTTTTAAAGCAAGTAGCTTCCAATATTCCAAAAACTTTAGAACAGAGCTCTCCAAAAGAAACGTAATGTGAGCACAAGTATAATTCAAAATTTTCTAGTAGTCATGTCAAAAAGTAGAAATGAACAAGTGAAATTTTAGTATGTTCAATATATCCAAAATACCATTTCAACATGCAATTAACTTATAAAAATAGACTATTTTACTCTAAAAAGAAAGAATTTGGAATCTGGTTGCTTTGTACACTTAGAGCACATCATATTTCAGACAGCCACATTTCGAGTGCTCAATAGCCACTTGTAGTTTGTGGCAAGGAACTAGACAGCACAGATTTAGAACCTCCTTCTCTAAGTCTCCTACTCTTGTCAAATTAACACAGCCTCTGTTCTCTGCATCCCCACACCCACCTGCTCCAGCCCTTCCAGGGCACCTGTAAAAGCAGTCTCAGAGCACCCATTAATATATAATTAGCTGATTCCTCACCTGCTTCTCTCCTTAGGCAAGGAGCCAAGCATTGCTGTCCTCAGAGGTGTGGTATTTCCACATTCTGCATATTCTTCAAAGGTCCTAAAATACAATGAGGAGACGTGGAGGGTGAGCCATTGGATCACAAAGATCTCATGATTCCAGGAACTCTCAGTTTAGTCAACAGAATCATCTCTCCTCTGTTTCTTGATGTCTTAACAGCTACTGAGAGGCCTATCTAGAGAACCTTGTAAATATATTTTTATATATAATTGAATGTCATCAAAGAAAACCTTTGGGAAAACATGAGAGTTGGTGCACAATTTGCTGGGCCCAGTGAAAAATGCAAATTGGGGCCCTTTATTCAAAAATTAAGAACTTTTAAGATTTCCACCACAGAGCGTTAAAAGAAGCACAGGGCCCTCTGAGGACAGCATCCTTCTGAGCAGGCAGCCTTGTGACTGCACAGGCTGGACCTCTATGAAGCCGGTCCTAGTTGGGGCTTATGTCTTTGGAGGAAGGAAGGAAGTGGGGAGATTCCCTGGACTATCCCTGAGGACCTGAACCTTAAAGGAGACTCCAAAATCTTAATCTACTGGAATTCACTGAGGAAGAAACTTTTTTGAGCCAGTGAGAACCCTTAGGAAAGAGGTAGCGAGGGGATAAAGTAGGTAGGTAAGACACATTCTTTGTTGATTCAACCACTAATTAGTGTCTCTCACATCCTGGGTGTTCATAAGGTCAGCTTCTGTGGACCCTGATTGGGCAACAACAGACTGACCTCTAAAAAAGGCCTGAGCAAGAATCCCTTCAAAGCTACTTCAAAGTCAGCTTTCTGCCTCTCCAAGCCAGGAACAGGTGGTGATGATGAGTGACCTCCAGAAGCTACTGCTGTGGGAGTTTGAGCTGTGGCATGGTTTGCTGCCTTCAACCCTGCTGGGTGGACCAGGCTGAGGGTGAGGTTGAGGAGGGAACTTTCTTACCCATGCCCAGCAGCGGTTCTTTCAGGCGTCCGCACTTCAGCTTTTCCCAGACGAGGGGCACGCGGACCTCGACGCGTAGATTAGTGGGGGGCCAGTCGGCTAAGGGGAGCTGGGGTCTCGGTGGCTCGGAGCCTCAAAGACCCTTCTTCCTTCCCTGGCGTCTGCGGGCAGCAACGGTCCACGCCGACTACCTGCCGCCGTTCAACGGAAACTGAGGCCGGAAGTGCACGGATGCGCAGCACGTGGTTTCCCAGGCGACAGGCCCCGCCCCTGCCCACGCTTCCGGCCACGCCTCTCAGAGGAGCGGCCGGGGGCGGGGTGATTGAAGAGGATGACGCGCTCTGAGCCGCTGTGGAGTTCCAGTTACTCAGCTGTCCTTGGTCTGGCCTCAGTGCCTCATCTGCCGCCCCGCAAAGGGCTTAGCGCACAGCGCAGACTAGTGTTAGGTAAACTAGTAAAAGATTCTCATACCTTGGGAGGTGAGAGCCAGAGGCAAACAGCCTGGCCTCGAGTGGATCAACAAGCGAGGAACCGCCAAGGCCTCGACGAGGCGCCTTCTTGTCCATGAGCAACCTCAGGCTTTCAGAGACCAGGACCACCATTCTCAGCTCTGTTTCTTCCTCGATCACAAATGCCTTATCTCCCTGCCACGAGTCAAGATGATATGTCCATATCACAGCCTTCTTAGGCAACTAAATTTTAAATGGTACTTTTATTTTAAAATAATGCTAATGCAGTATCTATGCTAATTTAGTTCTAACTTTAAAGGAATATCAAATCTGTTAAATGTTAACAGTTTACCTTGTTCATCTTTGCAGTAACTGCAGTGGTACGCTGAAATCTTTTTCAGATTTGTAGTTGGAGATGCTATATTGTAAGACCCTTCTTTGCAAACAAGTGGATATGAAAGTTTGAATTGTATACACAAAACCCTTCCTCCTTACACCGATTAAATCATACAAGGGTAGACCAGGTATCTTATCTACCTATGTTATCCTGCAAATATTGACTAGCATTTTTACATAATCACAAAAGGATTAATCACACAGATCTTTAAACCTAATCATCATACTGAAAGTCGGTATATTTGCAAATCTGTCTTTAAGCCTATCCTTATTTAACCCATACAAAGATGGAAATTTTGAAAGGTATTGGTAAGTGAGTTTAACATGACATAAATTTGATTAAATCTCACCATAATTTCCTTCATTTAATGAGATTGATCTTATTTTCTTGCAGTGGAAGGACTTTAACTTTCAAATGCCTTTGAAAGATATGTCAATCTTCTACTTTTTACTTTTTTGATTGAAGCAAAGCATTCCAGTTATCTCAAATAGTGAACAAAATTTTTTAAAGTGTTTTTCTTCTTAGAGCTGGTTTTCTTATGCAGGCTAAGACATTCAAACTTTTACTGGTTGTTAATGGGAGACTTACATCATTCAAGGTAGTTCTCCTAGTTTTAGTAATGAATTCTATAATGCTTGGGGTTATGATCGGGTTTTTCTTTTTTAAGTCTTGGAGACAGTGTTGTTGATGAAATGACATGACCCATTGATGTTACATCTTACCACTCAACTGCAGCTAGTACTCAGAAAATGATATCCAAATATGATTCTTTAAATTGTTTTCTTGAAATAACTTGTGTATCAATGTTAAAAACTTCATTGTATCTGTGGTTAGTAATTTTGAAGGCAAAAAATAAACCTATCAGCATTTAAAAATTAAATTTTACAATTTGAGATAATTGTCCTTTCATGAGCAGTTGTCAGAAGTAATACAAGGAGATCCTCTGTGCCCTTTAGCCAGTTCTCCCCAAAGGTAACATCCTATAAACGTATACTAAAATATTCAACCAGGATATTGAGATTGATATAGTCAAGATACAGAACATTTCCATCACCAGAAGAATTCTTCATGTTGCTCTTTAATGGCCACACCCACTTACCACCTATCCCCACTCCATCTTTAATCCATGGTAACTACTAGTCTGTTTTCCATTTCTATAATTATGTCATTGAAGGATTGAAATATAAACAGAAACACTCAGTATGTAACCTTTTGGGATTGGCACTTTTTACTTGGCATAATTCTCTGGAGATTCATCTCCGCTGTTTTCTCTATGAGTCATTTGTGCCTTTTTTGGTGCTGAGTAGTACTCTATGAGGAATATGCCACAATTTGTTTAACTCTTCACCAGCTGGAGGACATCTGGGCTGATTTCAGTTTTGGGCCTTTACAAATGAAGTTGCTGTGAACATTTATGTACAGGTTTCTGTGTAATAAATGCCCAGAAATGCAATTGCTGAGTTGCATGGTAAATGCACGTTCAGTTTTTCAGAAACTGCCAAATTGCTTTCTGGAGTGGCTGTATCATTTTATATTCCCACCAGCAAGTTAGAGGTCATCTAACTTCTCTGCATTCTCACCAGCAGTTGGTGGTGTCACTATTTTTTATTTTATTATTCTGCTAGGTATGTAGTGATACCTCACTGTGGTTTTAATTTGCACTTCTCAGTTGGCTAATAATGTTGAATGTCTTTTTAAATGCTGGTTTGCAATCTATGTATCCTCTTCAGTGAACTGTTTGGGGTTTTTTTTTTTATTATTGTGGTTTCCCCCATAGCTTTATTGAGGCATAATTGACAAATGAAATTGTAAGGTATTTAAAGTGTACCACATGATTTAATATACATATACATCATGAAAGTTTTCCTCTCATTGAATTAATTAAGGCATCCATCACATATTTACCTTTTTGGGGGGGGGTGAGAACATTTAAGTTCTACTCTCTTAGCCAATTTCAATGATACAGCACAGTGTTATCAACTATAGATACCATGTTTTACATCAGAGCCTTAGACCTAATTCATCTTATAACTGAAAATTTGTTCCCTTTTACCAACTTGTCTATTTTACTGTTGAGTTTTGAGAGTTTTTTTTAAATACATAGTCTAAATACTAGCTCTTTGTCAGGCACGTGTTTTGCAGATATCTTCACCCATTCTGTAGCTTGTCTTATCTTCTTAACAGAGTCTTTCACAGAGCAAATATTTTTAGCTTAGTTCTGTCATATTATTTAGTTTTATGTTTTTGTATCTTCATATCTACCACGCAGTGTGTTTTGTAATTGTTTAGAATGTGTGTGTTTATTTGAATACTTTGAAAAATATTTATTTTTGACCTAAAATTATTCTGACTGTAACTTAAAATGTTTAATCCTATGTCTGTTTAGACAGAATCTGACTCCACACAGTGGGCAGCCACAAATTAGTGTATTTCCTTTGGCTTCCTCTTCCCCCCTCCATTCAATTTTAGTTGCCATTTTTCTTAGCACTTACCTTTGTATTGCTAAATAAACTTCCATTACTTTTACTTGATTTATCAGCTTCCAATGATATCTTTTGACCTCTTGCTATAAAGCATGAGTGAATTCAGCAAATACTAGTACCTACTAATTCTCCCAATTATTTTCTCAAATCTGTTATATATATGTTGTTTCCATTTCAGTCAGGATTATTACTTTTACATTCTGCATTGTTACCGTAACCCCTGCATTTGCTTTAATCTTTGTCCTACAGTAAAGTAGATCCATCTCAGTGCCAGTCCTATTGTTTTTCTCATTTATCTCTTGGCTGACTGAAGTTCATCTTTCTAGCATTTTCTACTAGAAGGGCTCATCAAATATTCAAAATGTTTATTTCTCACCTTTGCACTTGAGTGACATTTTGAATGTGTAAAATAGTCTTCGGTTATGATTTCTCTTGAGGATTTATAAGCATTGCTCCACAATTTACTGGAATGGAAATTTGCTCTTGAGAAATCTGAGATCAGCCTTGTTTTTCTCCTTTGTAAATGACTTACTATTTTTGCATAGCTCCCCAAAGAATTCTTTGTCTTTGAAGTTCAGTAACTTTGTTTTACGAAAGATCTCGTAAGGTCTGTGTTACTTTTTCCTGGGACATTGTATGCTCTTTCAATTTTGCAATCAAATCTTTAATTTTTAAACTTTTGTGGTAAAATAGTCATAATTTTCAAGTTATCCAAAGCAACTTTTTTTCCTCTGATAAATGTCCTTTATATCCTGTTTGTTTTCTTTTTCTTTTCTTCATTTGTTTTTAATAGGATCCTGGCATAGATCTTTAGCATAGTTGCTTTGGTGACTTCATTTTTGACAGAGATGAGGTTTTTCTCTGTATCAGAGGGGTTTCTCCTCTTTAGAATCCTTCCTTGGCTGGTTTTTAGGGCAGATGTTGAAACCCGGATTTTTTAAAAAATTATTTTATTGTGGTTAGGACACATAACATGAGAGCTAGCCTCTTAACAAATTTTTAAGAGTGTCATTCATTGTTGTTGACTACAGAGGCAATGCTGGACAGTAGTCTCTAGAGCTTATTCATCTTGCTTAACTGAAACTTTATGCCCATGGTTAGTAACTCCCTGCTTTCTCCTCCCAAGCCCCCGCCAACCACCATTCTACTCTTCAACTCTGAATTTGACTGTTTTAGACACCTCAAATAAGTGGAATCATGTACCATTTCAGTGATTGGCTTATTTCAATGAGTATAATGTTCTCAAGGCTCATCCATGTTGTCAGATATTGTCCTTCTTTTTTTTTAAAGCTCAATGGTATTCCATTGAATATATATACCACATTTTCTTTATCCATTTATCAATAGACATTTGGGTTGTTTCCACATCTTGGCTATTGTGTATAGTGTAGCAGTGAACACGAAAGTCCTAATGTTTCTTTGAGACCCTGATTTCAATTCTTGTGAATAAATCCCCAGAAGTAGGATTAGTGGATCACACAGTAGTTAAAGGTTTAATCTTCAAAATAGGTAAGGAGTTCCTACAACTCAACTAGCATAAAACCCAATAATCCAATTGAAAAATGGGCTAAGGACTTGAATATATATTTTGCCAAAGAAGACATACAACTGGCCAACAGATATTTTTAAAAATGCTTAACATCATTAATCATCAGAGAAATGCAAATCAAAATGACAATGTGATATTATTGTCTTATACCCCCGTCATGATAACTATTAGTCAAAAAAAAAAAAGTCAAGAAGTGTTGATGAGGACGTTGAGGAATCGGAACGCTTGTGCACTGTTGGTGGGAATGCAAAATGCTGTAGCTGCTGTGGAAACAGTATGGAGTTTCCTAAAAACATTGAGTCTCTTGGGTCGATCCTCTGATT